AAAGGAGGTTGTACATTTTAACAAGAGGAGACTACCCATCTATATCTCTTAAAGAAACTGGTGGATTCAAGCTGCTGATCTTTCCGTTAGGAGAATGCAATACATAACGTACTATACCACCAAAACTTCTTACTGCCCCACTGGGGTAGATATACCAGTCTTTGGTGACATAAAAGCTTGTGTGTGGTATGTGGTCAAGTCTGTTCCAATCATAGCAATCCTGTAGAATATAAGAACTGCTGTATAGGATTTCCCAGACAGAAATCTTGGCAGGTGTAGATCGCTGGCCTTTTCTCCTGCAGAGCCACTGGTGAGTTAAAGAGCACATGACTATTGTAACATTAGTGCTACTTTAAATCATTTCACTTTCTTTAGATCGGGATATAAAAGCAAATGAGCCATTACTTCAGAAGAAAATAATGATGTTGCCCATTTGTTCAAAACCTTTTACAGGTCAGGTTTAAGTCTGACTTAAGTACTAACCTTATAAAACAACCCCACCAAACCTTCTTTCTCCTGGCTCCCCATCTGTACAGAAAGGAAATGAAGTATTTAACTCTATGTCCTCCTTTGCAGCTTTGCAACTACCTCTTCTTCCTTTCATTTTTTTACAGCCTGCTCTTCTGCAGCCTCCACAATTGGCCTGACTGTCCCCTATCTTCTTTCTTACTTCCCTACCTCCCATCTCCCCCTCTCCCTGTCTCCCCATGGTTGCCACTACTAACTCTTTGACCAGCCTCTGACTCTTGGCTTCCAGAGTTCCAGGAATTCTTGTGATTCATTCAGCCTTGAGCCTGACTGGAAAAGATCAATATTTGTTTCATTCCAAAGAAAGGTGACCCGACAGAATGCGGAAATTATAGAACAATATCATTAATATCACATATAAGCAGGATTCTGCAGAAAATTATCCAAAAACAATTAGAGCAATGTGTCAGCAGAGAACTGCCAGATGTGCAGGCTGGATTTAGAAGAGGTCGTGGTACTAAGGATATTATAGCTAATGTAAGATGGATCTTGGCAGAAAGCAGAGTACCAGGGGAATGTCAATCTGTGCTTCATTGACTATGCAAAGGCTTTTGACTCTGTGGATCACAAGAAGCTATGGTTGAGTCTGAGAAGACTGGAAATCCAAGAACATTTGATTGGGCTTGGCAGTCATCAGAACAGAGCAGGGTAACACTGCATGGTTCAAAATTGGGAAAGGTGTACACCAGGGATGTGTCGTATCCATACCTTTTCAACCTGTATGCAGAGCAGAGTATCTGAGAGGCTGGGTTCTATGAGGAAGAAGTGTGGCGTCAGGATTGGTGGAAGATCTGTTAACAATCTGCGTTATGCAGATGACACAACCCTGCTTGCTGAAACTGAGGAGGACCTCATGCACTTACTGCAGAGGGTCAAGGACTGCAGGCTTCAGTATAGACTGAGGCTCAATATCAAGAAGAGATTCTTACCACTGGACCAATTGGTAGCATCAGGATGGATGGCGAAGAGATTGAGATTGTTCACAGCTTCCGTTTGCGCGGCTCCACAGTCAGCATTCTTAGCACCAACAGCCAGGAAATCAAAATATGTATTGCGATGGGAAAGTCTGCTGTTAGGGACCTCTCTAAAGTACTGAAGAGCACCGGTGTCTCTCTGGAGACTAAGGTTGGCCTGATACAGGCCATGGTCTTTGCAATTACTTGTTATGTATCAGAGAGTTGGACAATGACTAGGGAGGATAGAAGGAGAATTGATGCCTTTGAGCTGTGGTGCTGGAGAAGAGTATTGAATGTACCATGGACTGCCAAGAAAACAAACAGATTCATCCTAGAGAGGGTTAAACCAGGCTGCTCCTTGGAGGCAAGGATTGTGGGGCTTCGTCTGACATACTTTGGGCATGTTGTAAGGAGAGGCAGGTCTTTGGAGAGGGACCTCATGCTTGGTAGGGTGGAGGGACAGCGCAGGAGGGGAAGACCCTCTATGAGGTGGATTGATTCAGTGACTGGGGTAATCGGGATGGGTGTGTCAGAGGCAACGCGATTGGCACAGGATAGAGCAGGGTTTAGGGCTTGTTGTACATAGGGTTGCTATGAGTCGCAAACGACTCGACAACACATAACAACAATGTGAAACCTATACTTGGACCAGCAGGCAGTCGTCAGAACAGAGCAAGGAGACACTACATGGTTCAAAATCAAGGAGGGGGTCTGTCAGGGATGTATTTTTTTTCTCCATACCTTTTCAGTCTATATACAGAACAGATCATCCGAGATGCTGAGCTGTATGAGGAGGAATGTGGCATCAGCATTGGTGAAAGAGTCATCAACATCCTGCATTATGCAGATGACACAACCCTGCTTGCTGAAACTGAGAAGGACCTGAATCACTTGCTGCAGAAGGTCAGGGACTGCAGTCTTAAATATGGATTGAAGCTCAACATCAAGAAAACAAAGATTCTCACTGCCGGGCCAATTGGCAGCGTCAGTATGGATGGTGAAGAGATTGAGATAGTTAATAGTTTTCGTTTACTTGGCTCTGTGGTCAACACTCTAGGTAACAGAAGCCAAGAAATCAAGAGAATAATTGCATTGGGAAAGTCAGCTGTGAGGGACCTCTGTCTTGGAGAGGGTGAAGCCGGAATGCTCCTTGGTTGAAGTCAAGGATTCTGAGGCTTTGTCTGACATACTTTGGGCATTTTCAAGGAGGCACTGGTCTTGGAGAGGGACATCATGTTTGGGAGATTGGAGAGAGACAGCGTAGGAGAGGAAGACCTTTGATGAGATGGATCGATTCTGTGATTGGGGTGGTGGGAGTGAGTATGTCAGAGATAGCGAGGTTGGCACAGGATAGAACAGTGTTTAGGGCTCTTGTGCATAGGGTTATGTGTCACAAGCGACTTGATGGCACATACCAACATCATGTACACTGTTAGGGATCTTTTACTGTGTCTCAAAGAGTGTCTTTAATGTTATGTGTGGAAACTTAAACCCATTGCTGTCCAGTCAGAACCAATGCCTAACTGGCCCTCCAGTGATTTTCAGAGGCAGTAAATTTCTTGGGAAGAGGTTGCCTGTCTTCTGCATAACAGCTGATGGATTCAAACCAGCTAAGAGGCATGGCCTTCTAGGTTAGCAGGTAAACCCTGTACCCACTATAGCACCAGAGTTCTCAGTGTATGGAAAGTACCCTGTATACAACAATTATAGGCATTTGTATGTTAGATTTGAAGCATAACTAAACACAGAAATTCTGAAGATGTGTAGAATTTTTTCTCATGAATCATGTCTTCCAGATCTGGTATACAAGTACTTAAATATTTAATTTTATGTCTCTAGCAGATTTTTCTCACTGTTTAGGGGGTGATTGTCATTCAAGTTGGAACCAACTAGCAGACTTTACAGCAGATTTCCACAGGCAGTTAATCACATGGGAGGAGATGGTTCTCCTGTGGAGCAGTTGGTAGATTTGAACCATGTGCCTTTGGGAAAACAGTGCACCTTTTACCACTAAGCCACCAGAGGTCCCTCTAATTCCTGGTGTTCCCTTTAGAGGAACAAATCCTCTTTTAGCTCTAGGGGAAGGTCTTTAGTAAAGTTAATTTTTAAGGTGCAAAATAGAATTCATTTTACTTGACAACATCTACCTAAAAAATACTACTTGCGGGGGGGGGGGGCGGGGCAGGCAGGCATTTTGTAATTTGTGTGCTACGTGAAACAGAAGTATACTTTAAATGTTAAATTGTTTTTTTGTCACTGTTGTAAATAGTTACAAGCCAAGTTGATAAGAAGAGACTTCTTGTAGAATCCTGGTTTTGTCACTTGTGGACAGCTGGTGATCTCTACCTTCTTTCCTTAGTTGTAGAAGATGCCTGTGGTGATATAATATTGCCTCAGGATGGCAGTTTAGTAGTAAGGAGTAGTGCTGCCAATTCAAAAGACACTCAATTTCGGTCCCAGTTGCTGAATTTGCTGTGCAGGAATAAGATGAGCAGACTTCTTTGCAATTTGCTGCCTCTGGAAACCCACTGTGTAGTCAAGCTATAAGTTGGTTCCAACTCTGCAGTACATAGCAACTTCTGGGATGAGATCTTGGTAGCCTGTATTTTTAAAAATTTTTCCTAGATCATTATTTTCTACAAGATTTACTATAACTTAGACTTATCTCTCTACCTTAAGGATAGACTTTTTTTTGCTTAGAATTCTTCAGCCAGCACAGTGTTTTATTTCTCTATTGGTCTATATGTTTATATTTCTATTTCACCTTTTACATTTGTGAAAAAGAATTTTTTTTATTCCCCCTGGAAGTCCTGAACAAACAAATCTGTCTTGAAAGAAATGGAACTAGAGTGCTCCTTAGAGGCAAGGATAGTGTAGCTTCATCTTGCTTACTCTGAGTGTATTTTCAGGTGAAACTAGTCTCTGGAAAGATAAATCATGCTGGGAAAAGTTGAGGGCCAACGAAAGAGAGGAAGACCCTCAACAAGATGAACGGATACACAGTATCTACAGCAATCATCTTGAGGATGGCAGAAATTGTGAGGATGGTGAAGAAGTAGGGCAAGGTTCAGATCTGTAGTTCATAGAATGATTATGCGGCTTGGTTGACTCAGGGTTGTTATTTTATCAAATATTAGTTTATTTAATAAAACAATAAAGTAACACATGGGAAGGAGCTCTTAGATCAAGAATGAACAGACCCTTTGCTAACCGTCGTTTGGTACTTTGAACTCATTCTGTAAGAGAAAGATGAGGCAGTCCTAGTCTTGGAAACCAGATGGTGGGTCAACATGAATTGAGATTGACTCAGGAGCAGTAGGTTTGAGTTTTTCCAGCCCTGATCGTCCTATGTCAATAGTCTTTCTCTCTCTCTGAAGGAAAAAGATGAGTGATAAATAAGATAGTCCATAAATTTTTTTCTTAATGAGTAATTGAAACTAAATGAAAAAAAATGTGTCTAATTAAACTAGTTCCTAATTTATATTTCCAATTTTTTTCTGTCTCCCATTCCCACAGCTTTCCCATGGTTTGGCATGGATATTGGAGGAACACTTGTAAAGCTGTCATATTTTGAACCTATTGATATCACAGCAGAGGAAGAACAAGAAGAAGTTGAGAGTTTAAAAAGTATTCGGAAATATTTGACTTCTAATGTAGCATATGGATCCACTGGCATTCGAGATGTACACCTGGAACTTAAGGATTTAACACTTTTTGGCCGACGAGGGAACTTGCACTTTATTCGATTTCCAACCCATGACCTGCCTACTTTTATCCAAATGGGAAGAAATAAAAACTTCTCAACCTTACATACGGTGCTCTGTGCTACAGGAGGTGGTGCTTACAAGTTTGAAAAAGATTTTCGCACAGTAAGTATCTACTACTTAGGTAATACTGAAAATTTATAACCATTATATTCAGATTTTTGAGACTAAGTTACCATCTAATTTATCAAGTTTCTTAGATCAGTCCCCTCACCCTCCATGATAACAGTAGTGAATTCATGACTAGCTTTTGATTTTGAACAGGTTTGAGTCCATTAATGAAATCATGATATCTGATAAAACCTGCTAAATCTAAGAATGCTACAAAGGTACAGTTAAAGCACCTTCAGCTCCCTTTTTCCCCTTTTTTTGCTGATAGCATTCTGTAATGTTTGGCTTTACTCCTGTCTATCCTTTTCCTTCTTTTTCATTTTAACTGTTTTGCATAGCTATGCCTATCTTTTATTGCTTTAGTAGCCCTTTTGCACATGTTTGCATGTTTTTAAGTATTAACCAGTAATCACCTTTCAAAAATCCCACCTGAAGCCTCTGTTTTGGTTAATAGATGCCTGGTTGAAAATCTTCATTATCCTTTTATTCCAGATTCCTACACCATTAATTACCATTAATTAGACTATGTTTTTGGTGCAGAGTGGGTGGTTTGGTTATAGCAGGAGGACTGTGTGGATATTGATTTAAATTTTATACTGTTAGAATTTGTCTTGGTTCTGATCTTGTCAGTTAGAATAAAGGTTAGGAGGTTGGTATTTAGCGCTACCAGAATTTTCCCTAATAATGTGGGTGTGAACTACTAAATGACTCAAATTCATAGAAGACATGTCTCTTAGTAGAGATAAGTAATCTTATATATAACTCTTACAAGTGACTATAAATCTGTTAACGGTTTGGTTATAAGGAGCTCTTGTGCAGTAGTTCACACACTTTATTCTAATTGAAAAGTGATAAAGATGTAGCAAAGCCCTAAATTCTCTGCAGGAGTTCCAAGGCTCCAGTAGAGTTGCTGTGAATCAGAATCAGTGGGTTGTTTAGACATGTACTATTTAGTATTCACTTCACTTCTTGCCATAAGCCATGTCCTCTGACCCTAAGCATTGAAAATATCAGACTCTAAAGCTGGAGTTCATACACATTGTGATTGGTAACAATGATTACAATCCCTACTATGTAATAACACACTGGCCACTTCCCTCCCTATGCTTGTCCTTTTCATTTGTCTTTCTGTCCTCTCCTGTCTTCCCCTGGGAAAAGCTTTATCCCTGGGCACATGCTGCCCTTCTATTGACACATAAGGTCAGTTGCTCTAAAATGCTTCCCTGATTTTATAATTAATTCACCATCTTGACCTCTCATTTGACTGAAAATTAGAGTGAGTCATCAGGGTAAGTTCGGTTCTAGGCTAAGAATATGGGGGTTTTTGGTGTTTCTTTTTTTCTTTTTGCGACATTAATGCCATCTGGATGTTGTTAATATTCTATTTAAGCAAATATTCAAGCATGTGCTCTCAGGTACTTTAGTAGACACTTGCAGGGACACAGTTAGGTATAAGACACAAAGGTTTCTGAAGAGTCTAGACCAGACAGATGGGTAAGAAGTGCACGTGTAGTGTGTTATAATTATGGTATGAATATTGAAAAGATGTGCCATGGAACACAGTGATACCTAACAAATCTTAGAGAATTAGCATTGGCAGAGGAAGTGATAATTCAAACAACATCTTTTAAAACAGATACTTAGTAATATATTCTTTATTAACCTGAAATAAATGAATTTTAAACAAAATTAGAAAGGTGGGAAGTTAAGGTACAAGCATCTCCCACATTTTGAAAGTTTGCTTTACAAAAACACCACTTTTACAAAAGGCATGATAGAACTCGTTTTTATGAAGTAAGGGGGGCATACTACCAGAAACAAAAAGACAAGAAACAAAACTTGTTTCTCAGTGAGCTGTTTATTAAAGAGCTCAAACTCTTTAGAAATAGATTTAGCATCTCATTGTCAAGCCACCCTAGATTTGAACTGTGTGAACACTAAGTTAGTATTGTTTGGATTTTATTTGGTATCATTGAGTAGATTACTTTTTAGGTCCAAGAGTGCCCAACTTTTTCCCACACAAATCAGTGGTGTATATTTGTTTCATGAATTTTTGGTTTGGGAAAGATTTCCTAAGATTGCCAAATTTAAGATAGCATGGGAAACTTTCATTTCTCTATCAGTAGAAAAAAGGGCCATTATGCTTGGAAAAGTGGAGGGTTAGTGAAGACCCTCAGTGAGATGTAATTGCAGCAGTGGGCTCATGTATGTAATACATGATGATGCTGGCACAAGATAGGAGAGGGTCCAGGTCTGTTCTTTGGTTTGTCATACTTGTCATACGTCAAACCCAAGTCAGTGGCACCACCCCTAACAGATAGAGAGAGGGAGATAGATAGATAGATAGATAGATAGATAGATAGATAGATAGATAGATAGATAAAAATGTAATTTTCTAGGGAGCTCTGGAGATGTAATTTGTAGAGTTGCACTGTTAATCGAAAGACAACACTTGAATTCACCAGTGGCTCTGAGGGGAATACCATGAACAATCTTCTGAGTGATTTCCCATGTCAGGTACCTAATGAGGGATTAGCTATGAGTCAGAACTGACTTGAATGAAGGCAGAGTTTGAGATATATTCTGTAGTACCTCCTACCAGAAGACGTGAGGTAATTAAGACACTTGGCACCTGAACATAGATTCATCTTGAACACTGAAACTACAAATGCTGAATTGATAGGGTTTCTTTTTCTAGAGAAACAATACCAAGAATGACATGACTTTCCAAAACATTTGGCATGATTCCAAGCAATAAATTTATATAGTCGTTGGCATTTCTAGTACATTTATTATTAAAATGATTTCATGAATATTTAAGGTTTAGATAAATGTATAAAAACACTTTAATGTAGGCTCAGATAATGGAATTTTTTTTATTCTACCAACCCATAAATATTTGTCAGGACACTTAAAAATCTTGCCCCACCTATTTCAGTATATTTGGCATTTCTAGTCCCTGCCCAGTAAATGTCAGTGGTCTTTCCTATGTATCTTTGTGAGAACGAAAATGCCTGCAACAGATTTCTAAAATGTGAGGTCATAGATGAATTTGAAGTTTCATAGTTTGTGATGGTCTCCTGTTGATTCGGAACCAACCCATAGATGACCTTTCAGTGGGTTTTCAGAGGCAGTAAGTCACACCAGAGGAGAATATCGATCATTATCACTTTATACTAGTTTATCCAAACTGTATGCCTTTGTGTTGGCAGCACAGTTCCTTGCCACTAAGTCATCAGTGTTCTCTTTATAAAGTATATGGTGTTTATTTAGTGTGGTGGGGCTAAGTACTTTAAAGGTTTTCCTTTTTTCACTTTTGCCCCCACAGCAATTACACTGAGTTAAACTCTCGGCAGAGTCCCGAGTTACAAATGTCTGATTTCAGGACAACACCTTTGCCCTTTAAATAAGTTCTGTAATGACCAATAAAAAGAAGCAGGGGCATACTTGATGTTTTTACGGTTGGGCTGATTCAGTATAGTAATCAGAACAGAAAACAGGAACTCATAGTTGAAAGCCATTGTTTAAAGTGACATTATTCATAGTGAAAAGGTAGAAACAAACGGGAGATTTTAGCAAATGATTATGTAAGCAAAATGTTGTATATACATCAAATGGAATGTTCTGGCATGAAAAGATACGAAGTCCTGATAATTACTACAATACTGATGGGCCTTTAAAACAGTGCACTAAGTGGAATAAATAAGTGATTCCTTTTATGTGAAATAGAGACAAACTATATGTTATCAAGGGTTGGAGTAGGGGAAAATAAGAATTACTACTTGATGAATGCAGAGTTGCTATTTGGTGTGATAAAAAGATTTTGGCACAGCATAGTGGTAATGATTATACAGTATTGTGAATAATTATTATTGCTGAATTGTTCACATAAAATGGTTTAAATGACATAACATGTTGACCACAGTAGGAACCTGATTTAATTTTTTTAATTTGTCTTTTTTTTTTTTTTTTTAAGATTGGAAACCTCCACTTGCATAAACTGGATGAACTTGACTGCCTTGTAAAGGGCTTGCTGTATATAGATTCTGTCACTTTCAATGGACAGGCAGAGTGCTATTATTTTGCTAATGCCTCAGAGCCTGAAAGATGCCAAAAGATGCCTTTTAACCTGGATGATCCATACCCACTACTAGTAGTGAACATTGGTTCAGGAGTCAGTATTTTAGCAGTCCATTCCAAAGACAAGTACAAACGAGTAACTGGAACAAGGTAGTAAACCTTACTTAATCTTAAGCATTCAGATTGTTTTCTTTATGTTCTTTATCAGGAGAACAATATTAATTAAGCAACAAAAATCATAGATAATTATAAGTTAAAATGTTTACATAATAATTTAATATGTGTAAGCACTGAACTCAGCTATATTATTACATATATTTGGTCAGTATCTTTTGACACTCAAAATTGCCATAATGGTATGAATGAATTGTTATCTAGAATTATTCCAATAATTCAGCTTGATTTTAACCAGAGATCATTTACTTACAGGTGACTGTTCTGTTCATTACAAAACCCTGTAGACAGAAAAAATCAGTCTCAACGCGTGGTAGCCTGTATCATGACTGTTGTGCTTCTCCATTTCACCTTGAGCTCACTAGGTCTCTAGTAACTAAGCTTGTCCTTTACTACTAGTTGCCTCTTGATATGTCTAGAACGAGCAAATTGGGCTTGAATCCATAGATACTAATTGTGTAATTTTTGGAAGTGGTACACTGAGTGTCTTCCTAGCCTTTCTTCGTCTAGCAGTTAGCGGAAACATCACTACCCTGATATTAGGAGTACTCTGATGGCCTAGCTTTTACCATCAAACTACAGAGTAGTAGCAGAACTGTATTAGGTGCAGTTGCAATGATTACTGATAATAGTGACCCTATGTACAACAAAACATAATTTTGCCTGTCCTCTGCCATACTCATGATCTGTCTCCACCATTCTCAGGTCCCTTGTAGTCATCATACCAGTCCATCTGCTGAGCACCATATCCGACCTTCACTGACTTCACGGTGGAAAACTGTCCCCGTCCACAGCATTAGTAACATAAAACCAGTTCCCATGAGGTCAGGCATGTCCCCTGCGCTCCCATGTCTCTTTCTACTCGTCTCAACGTTCGTAATACTGCTTTGCTGGGTCCAAAATCCGATGTGATAGCTCATAGACCACACAGAACTATATTGGGGAAACCAAAAGGTTATAGTAGCAATACAGCCAAGACCGCTTCCAAAATTTGCATGCAAGGCACCTCAGCCTCAGACCTCTAGAGTGTTCCCAAGTCTCGGTCCTGCCAATATTGGCTTCCCCTGTCCTTCCCCCACCCCAGAGGTCTCCTCTCACAGCAGTTCTCCAGTTCTGTGATGGCAGCTGCTGCCTCTGTCCAGAAGTGTATCCTGTATTTCATCAGGTTGGGACGGTCTCTCCTCTGATCAGGGGAAGAGTGCTGTATTTTCTAGTGGAGGAAGCTTCTGTCTCAGCAGCTAGAGCTCTTCAGTTTATTGGTGAAACTAGCCAGTCCTCTTGTAGATTTTTGAGACTGGCCAAGCTAATCCCTTTGGATAAACCAACACACCCCATTCGTGTAGTCCCGCCCTTCCACATAGAAAAGCCCTATTGAAAAACAGGCCCCATAATCTGGCTTGATGATCATACGATATATTACTCCGGAGATGAAAAGGTGAGGAAAAATGGAGTTGCTTTCATAGTTAAGAAAGTCATTTCTAGATCCATCTTGAAGTACAGTATTGTGAATGACAGGATAATACCCATACGCATACAAGGAAGTCCAGTGAATACCACTATCACTCAGATATATGCACCAACAACCAGAGCCAAAGAAGAGGAAAGTGGGAGCTCGATTAGATATGCAATCAAGATGCATTGATGATAATGGGTGACTGAAATGCAAAAGTTGGGAACAGAGAAGATTCAGTAGTTGGAAAACAGGACTCGGTGACAGAAATCTAGCTGGAGAGAGAATAATTGGATTTTGCACAATGACATATTCATTGCAAATATGTTTTTTAAGATATAAACGCAGGTTATATACATGGATTTCCCCTGATGGGACGTATAGGAATCAGATCAGTTAACATCTGCGGAAAGAACTGCTGGAGAAGCTCAACATCAGCTGTGAAAACTAGGCCAGGAGCTGATTGTGAAACAGACCACCAACTACCCATATGCAAGTTCAGGCTGAAGCTGAGGAAAATTAAACCAAATCCATGGGAACCAAAATAGGACTTTGAGTCTATCCCACCTGAATTTCAGAACTGTATCAGGAACAGTTTTGAGGCCTTGAACACTGAGTAAAGACCAGATGAGCTGGGAGAGGATCTCATCCAGGAAGATTGCAAATGGTTATTGCAAAAACAGAAGAGGAGGACGAAAAGACCAAAATGGATGTCAGAAGAGACTGAATATTGCACTCGAGCGCAGAGAAGCCAAAGCAGAAGGAAGAATTCAAGATACTAAAGAGCTGAATAGAAGATTTGAAAAGGCAGCGTGTGATGACAAAGTAAAATATTACAATGAAATGTGCAAGGAGCTGGAGTCAGAAAATCAAAAGGGCCGAACTCGCCCAGCATTTCTTAAGCTCAAGGAACTGAAGAACAAATTCAGACCTTGAGTTGTTGTAATCAAGGATGCTTTAGGCAGAAGATTAAATGATCCAGGAAGCATTAAAATAAGATGGAAAGAATGTACTGAGTCACTGTATCAAAAGGAATTGGCAGACACGGAAGAATTTAATGAAATATCATATGCGCAAGAGCCCATGATGGTAAAGGAAGAAGTTCAGGCTGCTTTGAAGGGAATAGCAAAAAATAAGGCCCTGGGAATAGATGGTATACCAGTTGACGTATTTCAGCTAACAGATGCTGCCCTGGATGTGCTCACCAAGTTGTGTCAAGAAATCTGGAGAACAACCACTTGGCCAACTGACTGGAAGAGATCTATATTTGTTCCCATACCAAAGAAAGGTGACCCAACAGAGTGTGGAAACTATAGAACAATATCATTGATTTCACATGCAACAAGATTCTACTGAAGATTATAAAAAAACGAGTGGAACAGCACATCAGCGGAGAACTGCCGGAAGTCTAGGCTGGGTTTAGAAGAGGTCGTGATACTAGGGATATTGTAGCTGGTGTTAGATGGATCTTGGCTGAAAGCAGGAGATACCAGAGGAATGTGTATTTGTGTTTCATTGACTATGCAGAGGTGTTTGTGTGGATCATAACAAACTGTAGCTGACTCTGAGAAGAATGGGAATCCCAGAACACTTGATCGTGCTAATGAGAAACCTATACTTGGACCAAGAGGCAGTCATCAGAACAGAGCAAGGAAACACTGCATGGTTCAAATTTGGGAAGGGCATACGCCAAGGATGCATCCTATCTCCATAACCTTTTCAACCTGTATGCAGAACAGATTATCCAGGAGGCTGGGCTCTATGAGGGGAAATGTGGGGTCAAGATTGGTGGAAGATCTATCAACAGTCTGCATTACGCAGATGACACAACCCTGCTTGTTGAAACTGAGGAGGATCTGAAGCGTTTGCTGCAGAGGGTCAAGGACCGCAGCCTTCAATATGGACTGAGGCTCAATATCAAGAAGACAAAGATTCTCACCACTAGACCAGTTGGCAGCATCAGGATGGATGGTGAAGAGATTGAGATTGTACATAGCTTTAGTTTGCGTGGCTCCGCAGTCAGCACTCTTGGCACCAGTAGCCAGGAAATTCTTATTGCGATGGGAAAGTCTGCTGTTAGGGACCTTTCCAAAATTCTGAAGAGCATTGGTATCACTCTGGAGACTAAGGTGCGCCTGACACAGGCCATGGTCTTTGCAATCACTTGTTATACATCAGAGAGTTGGACAGTGACTAGGGAGGATAGAAGAATTGATGCCTTTGAACTGTGGTGCTGGAGAAGAGTATTGAATGTACCATGGACTGCCAAGAAAACAATTCATCCTGGAGAGGGTTAAACAGGCTGCTCCTTGGAGGCAAGGATTCCGGGGCTTCGTCTGACATACTTTGGACATGTTGTAAGGAGAGACTAGTCCTTAGAGAGGGACATCATGCTTGGTTGGTGGAGGGACGGCATAGGAAAGGAAGACCCTCTATGAGGTGGATTGATTCAGTGACTGTAGTAATCGGGATGGGTGTATCTGAGACAGTACAATCAGCACAGGACAGAGCAGAGTTTAGCGCTGTTGTACATAGGGTCTCTGTGAGTCACAAGTGACTCGACAGCACATAACTCACCACCCCCACCCCACCAGAGCTCTGGTTGCCTAGTGGCAAGAAGCTGCTCTACAGTTTGAGGCCACCAGCTGCTCCATAGAAGAAGGATGAGCAGTATCTGCCTAAAAACCCATCAGCTTTTGAATCTGTGTAAAAAGAGCAAGGGCCATGTGGGGTCAGGTATGGGTTGGTTCCACCTATACAGCATACAACAACAGCTTCCCCCTCAAAGCGTTTTCCATCTTTTTCCATTGTTCTTTAAGCATAATTTAGGCTGAGTGTATTCATGTTTAATTGACTGTATATATTTAATTCTTAATTGACTACATAAAATTCTTAAATTGTGGATTTAACGTGAGTTCTCTGTAGGATAACATGTTTCAAACACCACATAACATTTTCTGTAATACTTAAAATGAATGCAGAACAAGATTGTGGTTGTGTGTGAGAATGACTTTATGGATACTTCATTGGCTTAAGTAGAAGTGAGGAATCATGTTTATTAAACTGAAGAGGAAAGATTTTGAGATACTTTAAATGCTAATTTTTAAATTCTAACTTAAATGTTTTTACCTGGAAAAAAGAAATCATTGACCTGTAACATTTGGAATTAGTTTTCTCCTTTTAATCCATATGATTCTGAAAAATTTGCTAATCTTTAACATTTTTAACACACAAAAATAAGTTGAGGGCAATTATAAGATAAAGCATAACCTCCGTGTTGTTTCCACTAAGTGGCTTATTTCTTTGAATTTTTCTCAAGTCTTGATAAGTTTTGCTTTGACCAGTGTGGTTTGGGTTTTTAAATTTTACTATGTTAACATTTTCATTCATAACAATGTGATGATTCTGTATTTTTTTAATAAATGCTTTATTCTTTTATTTGGGGAACGAATACACTGTGGAGATGTAATTTACCAAGTTTCTTTGTCTTTAGCCTTGGTGGTGGTACCTTCCTAGGGCTGTGTAGCTTACTAACTGGCTGTGAAAGTTTTGAAGAGGCTCTTGAAATGGCATCCAAAGGTGACAGCACCCAAGCAGACAAGCTGGTCTGTGATATTTATGGCGGAGATTATGAAAGATTTGGTCTGCCAGGTTGGGCTGTAGCATCTAGGTAAGTTTAACATTTATGTTGTAATTCAGGGTACATATTTGGTTCTTTGCAATGTATTAGGCAATTATAAAAGAACAGTCTCACCTCAGTTTGCATTATAGGTAGTATCAGTTTAGAAATCAAATCTATGCAATAAGAGGTCTATTCTAGTACCTTTTCAGGGAACCACCTTTATTCTTTCTTGAATATGCTTTAATTATTTCACTATACAGTTGCAAATGCATAATCTTGCTCTGTTACTCTTAAAAATTACTGTATATTCTTTTAAAACAGTATATGCTACAAAACATTCTGTTTCTTTTAAGAAGCAACCATGTCCATTTCTAGTACTGTTGAATAAGTTCTCAATCATGACAGCCCTCCAATCAGGTATCCAAGGCTGTAAGTTTAAACATCTTCTCCATCCGAGTGGCTGGTGAATTGAATCACCAGTGTTTTAGTTAGCAGTCCAAAGTTTGACTTGCTGTGTCACCAGGGCTCCTTATATTTATTAAATAGATTGAGATTGCTCACAGCTTCAGTTTGCTTTACTCCACAGTCAACACTCTCTGCACCAGCAGTCAGGAAATTAGAAGATGTATTGCCATGGGAAAGTCTGCTGTTAGGGACCTCTCCAAAGTACTGAAGAGAAATGGTGTCTCTCTGGAGACTAAGGTGCATCTGATACAGGCCATGGTCTTTGCTATCACTTGTTATGCATCAGAGAATTGGACAATGACCAAGGAGGATAGAAGGAGAATTGATGTTTTTGAGCTGTGGTGCTGGAGAAGAGTATTGAGGGTACCATGGACTGCTAGGAAAACAAACAGATTCATCCTGGAAAGGGTCAAACCAGGCTGTCCCTTGGAGGCAAGGATTCTGAGGCTCTGTCTAACATACTTTGGACTTGTTGCAAGGAGGGACCGGTCCTTGGAGAGGGACATCATGCTTGGCAGGGTGGAGGGACAGTGCTGGAGGGGAAGGCCCTCTATGAGGTGGACTGATTCAGTGACTGGGGTAATTGGGATGGGTGTATCGGAGATGGTGCAATTGGCACAGGACAGAGCAGAGTTTAGGGCTGTTGTACATACCCTTGCCTCAAAGGAGCAGCCTGATTGCACTTCCTCCAAGGCAGAATTGTTTACTCTTTTGGTGGTTATTGTTGTTATGTGCCGTTAAGTCTCCTTCAACTCATAGAGATACTACAACAGCTCTGAACTTTGCCATTCTCTGAGGCAGTCCATGGGATATTCAGTACACATTTCCAACACCACAGCTCAAAAGCATCCATTCTTTTTCTGTCATTCTTACTCATTGTTCAACTTTCAGATGTATAAGAAGAAATGGAAAAGACTATGGCTTGGATCTAGTGTACCCTAGTCTTTAAATTGATGTTATTGCTCTTTAGCACTTTTGAAAGGTCCTTGACAACAGACTGCTCAGTGCAAACATGTTTTTGATTTGATGGTGGTACCAAGGGTATTGATTGTAGATCAAGTAAAATGAAATCACTGATAATTTCCATCTTTTCCTCCATCTCTTCTGTTATTTCTACATAGTCCATCTTTATTCTGTCTAGTATTTGAAATGCCTCTGGTGGCAGAGTCCTAGAGGATTGTGTTGTCAACACAAAGGGTCAAGCTTATGGCAGTTTGAATCCATAGGCAATCTGATGGGAGGAAACAATTAGTGATATTTTCAATTTACAGCCTTAGAAATCCATTAGAGGGTCAGCCTTGAATCAGTTCCAGCATGAGGACCTTGAGCTTGATTTTTGGATTATTTTTATTTTACCCTTTCAAAGAAATTCTGTTAGTCACAATTTTAGAAGAAAAACCAGTATTATAAATTCATCTGCTAATGTGTGTCAGGGTTTAGGGCTATTGTACATAGGTAGGGTCGCTATGAGTTGCAGGCACATAATGACAACAACGTGTTAGATAATTGCTTGCTAATGGAGTTGACTTTTTGTTTCCCATTTCTCCACAGTTTTGGGAATATGATACATAAGGACAAGCGAGAATCTATTAGTAAAGAGGATCTAGCAAGAGCTACTTTGCTTACCATCACTAATAACATTGGCTCTTTGGCACGAATGTGTGCTATTAATGAGGTAAGGAAAATATAATTGTATGATAAATGTGAAATGCAGTCAGACTTAGAGACTTAAGCTTGTGCTCTCCTGTTAGCCTATGACTAATGAATATTTTGTGTTACCTTTAAAATTTATACTTATCTAGAAGTACATAGCCTTAAGTATTTTTAGAGAAAAATCTTTATAATCATGCATTTTGAGGTAACTAAGTTTTACAAATTCCTTTTTGCTGTTAATGTTGCATTTGGTTAGTGAAATACTTGGAATTTTTCTTACTGCCCTCGGCTTCTTTACAGTGCTGCCTTGTTGCATAAGGATCAAGCAGCATTGTACAGGGCTATGAAGGCATTGAGACTTGTTCTTCACAGTGTTGAATACTGTCAATGGTTTGTTCTGTAAGATCTATCACTTTGAGTTCTTTTTTCCATATAGTAAATACTGTGGAATTTAAAATATCAAATACTTATAGTCAGTTGAGACGTTTACTTTTTGAAGGAGTCCATCAATTTCTTTTGTGGAGTACTAGGAGCCCTGGTGGCACAGTAGCTAGGCACTCAACTGCTAGTTGAAAGGTCAACTACTATGGGAAAACAAGTGGCAGTAACAGTGTAGCCTGGGATACCTTATGGGGCAGTTTTACTATATCCTGTATTATTGACAAGAGCCAGAATTAATAGTTTGGTTTTCAGTTTGGCTGCATCAGACGTTGTTCACTTTGGGAAACAGATTTTTACACCACCACCCCTTTTGTTTTTCTCTATTAGTAATCAATAAGTTGTTCTTTCTGTGACATTAAATTATAAATTCTATTAAAAAGAAAACCAACAGTTCAAAGGGAATTGAGAGTAGAGCATGGAGTGGCAAAGAAAGCCATGTTGAGAATATGACCCTTGGGTAAAAATTTAAAGGAGATGAAGTCATGTATACAAAATATTTGGGAAAAGATGGAGGAAAACCTATGCAAAGGGCCTGTTAATTCTCTTGAGTTACTGTATATTTAAACCTAAAATTTTATCCATTATGTTTCTAAATGTAGTAAATTGGCTGGCTGATAGAACCAGGTAAGCAGGTTTTTAGCTTAGATCTTAGAAATACTTAGGGTGGGAATAGCTTTTAGGATTGAAACATTTTCTCTCCTCTTAAGATTTTCTATCATAGAGGCAGCAAGGTAATCAAATTAGTGCCTGTGAAATATTAGTAGAAAGAAGGTCTTGCTGGGAAACAGAATGCCTGGATACATGGGGTTGAAGCCTGTGAGTTTATGCTCCCCCTTGCTGTGTAGGGTTCTCAGCTGAATGTCATTGTCCACCATACAATTGTCATTGTCCAGCAGACTTACCACCTTTTAATCTTTTTTTTTTAAGACATTCTGCTTTTCCTTGGCTTGGCACCTAATCAATAATGTGTCTCCAAATTATTTTGTTAAATGGATTATTTATTGACCATTTTTAAAGAACAAGTTTTGACCTATAAAATATTGCCTAGGTTCTGCTAAACAGATTTTATATATTCCATGTGATTGGTAGGTATGTGTCAGAAATATAGTAGGCGTGAGTAAAATTGTAGTAGTTGACATCTTTAAGATTTTTTTTTGCCAGCTCTTCTATAATGTAAAACCTTAATTCTTTTTATTTTGCTTTATTTCTTCTAGAAAATAACCAGAGTTGTCTTTGTTGGAAACTTTCTACGTGTCAATACACTCTCAATGAAACTTTTGGCATATGCACTGGATTATTGGTCAAATGGTCAACTGAAAGCATTGTTTCTAGAACATCAGGTGTGTTTGTTTTATGTGCCCTTGATCTCTACTCAAAGGAAGCCAGGAGCTTACAACTCTGT